CTGGCATGGGTAGTCCAAAACATAATTTAGCAAACCAAGGTTCTTGTGAAATGTTACTTTTGTTTTGGTTTATTTTCTGTTTCCTGGGTTCATTTTTGCTTTACTTTAAGGTGGAACGTGGCACTAATGAAGCTTCAAACAAGAGAAATTAAGACCAAGATTAATCATTATTTAAATCCCGGTTGAGTACTAAAAGCTTTTTAAACAAACGGCCTGAACCCTATGTAAGATAACATACTTATAGCAAGATCTCCCTGAGAGATTTTTAAACCATCTTTTTGTTAATTAAGAATACCTGACTGTTTAATCTTTAATGGACAAAAATAGAAATAGATTTAAATTTTGCAAGGCTGTTTTTGGAACCCTTCAAAGGCTTATTCACCGATTGTTTGCATTCACTGCAGAAAATTTATCATCTTAAACTTGACTTATTAAAATCCAGAAAAGGGAAAACATCACTGACATACTTCTGAAGACTATGGACGACTTTGCTTTTCAAGTGAACAGTAACCTTGGTAACTCAACCAGTAAATCGGAGTTATTATCAAGAAACATTGCTCTTAGAGTTGATCGCTGGAACCCAAAACATGAGGCAAGTCAAAGGTCGATGTTAAATCTTTGCTTTGACCCATAATAGTTAATTCAGGAACATTTCTGTAATTATGAATCGGTTTTAATGAGATATTTCATTGATTTCGTGACCTTTCGGTCTGAGTGAATATGTATTTGTATATTTCATTCCTAGTTGAAGGTTGACTTCGCTCAATATGGCGCAACAATCCTTGTTCCTGGCTCAGCGATCTCGGACACAATAGAAACTCGCATGTCCACCATTGCCTACAGAACACTTAAAAATGTCCTTAGGCTTCCAGTCGATGGACCCAGTAATAATCAGAGCGCCGGAAGTAGGCTTCGGAGAAGTGGTACAAGCATTGTTTCTTTCACTATTCATGATCGTGTATCTGGTTCCCTGAATAAACCTATCAAGCTGGCTTTTAATCACAATAACAAGGTATTGATTGGTTTGTATTGTTAGTAATACGAGTTGCAACAACAACGCATGGGAAACCTACTCCCGTCAGTTTTATGGGTTAAAAAATGCTGATGGACAATATAAATAGATCTCAGTTCTTAATCAGGGTAATCGTCGATAAATCGTTTTTATTCTATACCTATCCAATTGAGCACAGTGATGGTTGTTGGCAGCTCAGGTCATCATTCAAGTTCATAAAGGTTCCAGGGAAAATTTTACAACAGTGGTTGCTGAAATATAAATTTTTCCTCAGTATAGCGTCTCTTGAACAGTAAGTCCTAAAAACCAAGTGAAAAAAGGGTATTATTTCATAGAGGAAATGAATCAGCTCGGTGTTGCTTTTTGAGAGTTTAGTATTACTCTCATGCATTATCTCTTTTTTTTTTTTTGCAACGTATCCTGCTGTCTAAGTTTTAATCGTAACACTTTCATTGCAGCGTTCTGATTTGATTGGACAGTGCGTTTTCTGGGAGATCGACCAATCGCAGAGGA